ATTTGTCAAAACCTACAGAATGTACAACATCAAGAGTGAAGCCTACCTGATAAATAGACTCCCTGAGATCTCTTAATAAAAAATGAGTGAAACCTAATGTAAACTATGGGCTTTGGGTGATGATGTGTCAATGTAAGTTCATCGTGTTTACTCTCCTGTTGGCAGTGACAAACAAAAGCAGACAAAGTAAGTTTTCCACAAGACTTTGTGCTAATAGAGAAGTAGTCTAGAGACCAACAAAACAAGGCTCACATTCTTCAAATGAAAAGTTTTTTCATCTACCCGTTTCTCTCATCTTTCATTAGGCCCATTTGGACACATCTGGTTGATATCTTTTTTCTTCTTCTCTCTCTTCTACCTGGTATAAAATGCTTCAGGCCAAACAGTAGTTGGCAGAATCTAGAAGAAGTTGGCACCCATTGAGCTGCCTCTGTGAATGCAATGCCCAAAGGATCTCTATCCCCCAAGTCTAATCCAAAAACAAAGTTGTTTTAACAGACTAGTAAAGAAACTTGAAGAAGCAGAATCATAGCAAAAGAAAATGGGTCCCCAGATGCCAGGTTGCGACTCTCTGCAGTAGCTCTGCCTTGGTTGATTAAAGCAATACTTGGAGGCCCCTGAGAGCCAATTACAAAAGGAAGTCATGGTGAGGGAATGAGAAATGATTCCAACAACCACTAGTCAAAGGTGAACAGATCCCACAGCACCAAAGGATAGTGATTGAAACTGTTGCATCAGCCAAGTTCCAATACCAACTCCCTGAACATGAAGAGGGAGCAAAGGGGAAGGCTGAGGGAGAGAGGGAAATGTGCCCCTCTGGCAAGATTCTACTTAGTATTCCAAGTGCATACACACCTGACAATTAAGGTACAAGAAGTATCTCTTGATTAGCCATGTAGAAAACCCCAGGAACATGCCATGAGAGAGACAAGACCTGCAGGCTGGGAAACACACCCAATAGAGTCAGGCTACTGACACAACAGCCTTGCTACTGATTCGGTATGGCTACTGTCAAATCAGATCACATGTGACTCATCATCCTTGATGAACAATTCTACTTCCAGGACTGCTCACCCATCCATCTTCTACTGTAAAAGACCTGCTGACTTTCAAAGCATGTTCACAAACACTATTTCACTGGCTGTTGCAAAAATACTTGAAACTTATTTAATTTTATTAATTAACACCACTCCAATAATTTTTAATTAAAAAAAAAAAAGAACTTAAAACTGAAGTTCAAGAAATTTGCGTAACATCACACGGGCAGTGTTATTTGTATATTTTTAAGTGCTATGCCACTATGCTTATATATGCACAGCATACATATAAAAGAAAATTTAAGAAAATGGAGTGGCTACTACAGCAAGGAATTTAAAGATTAAGAGTGGAAATGAAACTTTCTTTTCTGTTACTTTTTTGGTAACTTCAATTTTACATTATTGTATATTTAACATTCTGAAACTAAATGGGAAAAAGTTATATTTAGGGAACAGAAAACCAAAGTCCAATTCTCCTTCCTACTGTATAAGGCAGACTCTCATGCTGGTAAGAAGCCAGAGCGTTATTGTTTCTCCTGTATCTTCCCACTTATTCCCCATTCCATCACCCCCCAACCACATAGACACATACACATACAACTTTCTCTGAGAACTTTCCCATGATTGCTTGCTCTATGCAGATCTGCCAGGAGCCGTGAATGTGCTAAAAATCAACCATGTGATAAGGGATCTTGAAAATGGGATTTTGATTTATATATATTCTGATTTTTATGTATTTATCTTAACAAAACGTTTCATTTGCAAGAAATAGCATTTTTGTCCAGACATTTTAATAAAAGACAAAAGTAAGCTAACACTTCAGCATAAAGGATTAGGATTAGGGAAAAAAAGCCACAAAACCTGCCATGACCAGGTACTGCAGTTCCACAATAATCAACAAACTGACAGAAAGGAAAGAACTTCCCTTCCTGGATATTGATGCTGATTTCTTGGCCTGATACAGAAAGTCAGGCTCCCCTAAGAAGAAAGGTGAAGGGATATATGACACAATGGGAAATGCGGCTACACACATCTAGAGATAAAATATATAAAATTAAATCGATAGAGTATTGGAAGAAATTGTCTCTCGGGTCACTTTCAACACCGACACTCTGTGACTCTACAAATCATAGATATAGGTAGATTGATAAATGAGAAAGTGCTAACAGAATCCTGACACTAAGGCCTATCATTACTATGGACTAAACCAGGACTACCATGGGAACAGCATGAATATCCTTTAAAGTTCATTCATTAGGTCCACGTAAATTTATTGTGCATGTATGTCAGGTGCTGAGCTAGGATCTGAGACTGCAAAGATGAGTACCACCAAAAACCCATGGCCTACAGGAAACTGGCAGACAGATAAAACACAATGTCATAGGTACTCTGAAAGACAGACACATCGAAATCTACCTCGAGTATGCTCAGGAAGGTTTTCCAAGAGGTAACATTTGAGCTGAATCTCAAAGGACAATTAGGAGCTCTCCAGGAGGGGATGACAACACATTTCAAGCAGAAGAAAGAGCCTGTGCAAAAGTATTGAGGTATGAAAGAGCGTAGAAATTTCCATGTTAAGAATGTTGAGGTTTCCATGCACTAGTATTATAAGAAGAGGGCAGAAATAAGAAAATATAGATAAGCAGACCAACAAATGAAGGTTGTGGCCCATGTGAGGGATGAAAGAATTATCAAATTGCTAAGGGTTTTAAACAACTAAATAACATCAGATTTGTGTTTGGAAAAGATGAAACTGTTGGCAACATTTCTCACCTCTGAAACAGCAGAGCATATTAGCATAAAGGGTAAGAGTACAGGCTTAGAGTCAGGATGACAGGGTTCAAATTCTATTTTAATACAGCTGGAATTTCAGCAATAACTGAAAGTTGATCTGCTTTTCTCTGCTTGTCCTATGCCACACGTAGGTTATGTGTTAGCTCATTTATTCCTCGCAACAACCCTACAAGGTAGGTAGTAATATCTCCAGATGGAGACACAGAATCTCAGAAAGGTAAAAAACTTACCCACATGCTGTGAAGCTGAAAAACAAGTATGATTTCAAATTCTGGCTCTGCTACATACTAGCTTATAAACTTGGATGATATAAATATTATAATCATTGTAACAAGTGAAAAAAATAGAGAAAGGAAGATTTCAGTTATAGAGAAAACAAAAAGAATACCATAGCAAGAGTCAGGCATGATGTTAAACTACTAAAGACTGTATGAATGGAAAAAAATAAATAAATGTAGAGATATTTAGGAGATATGATCAACATATCAAATGACAGACTAGATATTGAAAATGAAGAGATGACTTCCCAAGTATCTGGCTTAGACAACTGAATACATAGTGATATGTATAGTCAGCAGCTAATATGGAGATAACAGAGGTGGTTGCTAGAGATAGAGTTCTGTTTTAGACATGTTGAATTTAAAGTTTCTATGGTACATACAGCCTAATAGGCTGATATAAATTTATCACTCGTGCTAAAGAAACAGATCTGGAAAAATAGATATAGGAAACTGGTATTTACTTTGGTAATTGAACACATGGTATGAGTCAAATGGTCCAAGGAAAATATTTTGAGGAAGAAAAGCAGCAGGCCATGTGCAGAACTCCTAAAATGACCATCATTGAAAGGAGGGATGAGGAAGTGTCCATACAGAAAGGAGGACTCAATAGAATTCTGTCTTCCTCACTAGGGCTATATGCAGGTCCTGATTACAAATGGTCTGTGCTTTCACACTTACCTGGGTTTACCACATTCATGGTTACCCTCTCTGGTTCCACACTGTGAACATTCCTCCTTTCCCTTCTTCCACTAGTCACTGTAAGAACCTAGTTTATGACCCTCAACTTCCGCTCTACTCTTGGAGCATCCTAGGAGGTCTATGTGTCAGGTATGTGCTATGTCAGCCTGCTAAGCTGGAAATCCATTTCCAAGGATCCTCTTCCCTCTGCAGTTCTGGTTTAGAGGTGGCCGAAAAAAGGAATTGTCACAAGACCTGAAAAGTGGAAATGAATCAGTAGCCATTAACCTGAAAGTCGTTGAGGTAGTGACAAAGAGGTGCCAAGAGTTCCAGCTTGTCTTCACTCTCCGCCACTCTGTCCCGCTCTTCTTTATCGCTGACCTGGCTGGCCAACACTGGTTCCAGGCTGACCACAGACATGTGGCAGCAAACCCATGGAAGCTGTGTTTACACAGGGGTATAGCCTCCCACAGCCTCCACATAAGCCTTACCTCAGCAGACCCACTGCAGTGTTTGCATATGCTTGCCATCTCAGATTGACTGGCTGGTGATTCCTAACTCCCTCACAGACCTTCACTTCTCCAGCTCCTCTGGCAAGTGCATGTTCAATTTGTATGATAAATCCCTTATCCCATAAGTCATAAAGATTCTGTTCCCCTGATTGAACAATGATTGATATATTCCATTCTGTTTCCTAATTCTAACCTCCATGTTTCCTATTCTGATGAAGAATAGCACAATTTCCACTGTTTCTCTGAAAAGAGGGAGACCTCATTGAACTACAACAGGAGCAATTACCAGAACAAGAGCCCTGTTCTATATGCTCTTCAAGTCAATAGAATAAAGTTTCAAATCATTATTATTCTGCATACAAGGTATCAACGCCCTCTGTATTAGTCTAATATATCCTATTTTCCTAACCCATAATCTATGTAGTCAGCCATTTGTTATTGAGTCAAGCAATGTCTAACACTCACAGATGTATGTGATGTCTAGACCTCGAATAAGTATGAATTAGTGTCTGTCCTTAAAGAGTTCCAACCAAGTAATCAATCAGAATAATCAAATAATCAGAATAAAACATGTGCTACATAATATACAATGTACAAAGTGCTATATTATTCCCTAAACATATCTCCCTAATTTTTCCTTTAATACAGTTTCCTCAGACCGAAATGCCCTCTTTTACATTTCACATCAAATTTATAAGTAACTAACAAGTATTTTATTAAAAGATGCTCAACATTACAAATAAAAGAATGCAAATTTAAAACAATGAAGTATCATGTTGCCTATCAGATATAAAAACTATATGCCAGCTCATGAATGGGCACTCCTTATAATGGGTGGGAAGAGGTAAAAAGTATATAAAAATTTAAATTTCTGAAATGGAAAAAAATACATACAAAAGTTAAGAGTTTTAAACAAAGTCAAGTTCTTTGAAAACTTATGAGACAAACTGATGAAAGGAAAGAGATAAGGTACAAATAAACAATTATCAATAGAGAAAAAGAGGACAAAATTACAGAAAGGGGAACAAAATACAGAGAATAAATAAGGAACATATTACAAATAATTGAAAACCTAAATGAAATGAATAAATTATTTACAAGTACTAAATATAAAAACTGAATCAAGAGAAAGCTGGAAAATTCAATCCAATAATCTTTAAAGAATTTAAATCAGTAGTTAATCTTTCCATAAAGAAAATGCCAGGTACTGATGTCTCTATAGGCATATACTACCAAGAAAAAGATGAAGTGATATTATATGAACACAAAAGGAACACTTTTTACTCATTGTATGAGGCTAGCATAATTTTGATACCAAAACCAAACTGGAAAAGATTAAGAAATAAAAAGTATAGACTTGTAAACAAATATCAATTGTGACCTACACATACAAAATCCTAAATACTATACAAGTGAATCCAGCAATGTATATATAAAATAATATTCTGATCAAGTAAGTTTGTACCAATAATGCTAGTTTGGTTTGTTAATTAAAGGTTGAGTACTCTAATTCACCACATAATCAAAGTAAAGAAGAAAAATCATTTGCTACCACTAATAATGCAGAAAAAGCATTAGATAAAATTTAAATCCATTTCATGATGAAAACTCAAATCATACTTGAATATAAGAGGATACAACAATCTTATTTGATACTGAAATATTGAAAATATTTCCATTAAGTACAAGAATAAGACAAGGATACTTGCTATCATCACTTGTATTCAACAAGCAGAGGTACTAACGACTACAGCAAAGAAAATATAAAAGGATCGAAAAGGACACAATAAATTCACTTTCCACACAGAAAACTCAAAAGAATCAACAAAGTATTAGAATGAAAATACTTAAAAGGTCACAGCTACAAAATATATATAAAATAGACAACTGTACTTATATTCCCAAGAACAGTTAGCAAATGTAATTTTTAAAATTATACGATTTACAATAGCATCATAAACAATACAATATCTAGAAATAAATCTAATAAAAGATACATGAGACTTACTGGGAAAAAGTAATTATATTAAAACACATTAAAGAATCTCTAAATACATGAAGAAAATCATGGATAAGAAGACTCAGAGTTAGAAAGATGTCTACTCCTCCTAAACTGATCTATAAATTGAATGCAACCACAAACTCCCAGAAGGTTTTCATGAAAATTTACAAATTCTAAAATGTAAATGGGCCACCTGTTAAGAACAACACAAAAGAACTTGTCTGAGCAGATATTGACTTTTTTATAAAACTATGAGACAATGTGATGATGGCAGAGAAATGAACAAACAGACTAGAATAAATTGGAATAGCGGACTCAAAAACAACCCTACCTATGTACAGAAAGTTGGTTTAAGATAGACTGGGCTATAAAGACCTATGGTTAAAGAATGGATTCTTTCATAAAAGGTGCTGGGCCAATGAATTATTCATTATGAAAATATATATCTCTATCATAACATAAATAAAAGTCATAACAAAAGAAAAGAACAAAATGATAACACTTCATAAAACAATGGAGGGGAAAAGTCTTTATGACTTCAGGATATAGAAGGGCTTCTTAAGGCATAAGTAGCACTAACCATAAAAGATTGATAAATTTGATAACACTGAAATTAAGAACTCTGATCAACAAAAGATCTAACAGAGTAATAAGACAAACTAAAAACTATTAGATGTTTGCAGCACATAAAATGACAAAAGACTAGTACAGGGAGACATAAATAAGTCCAGAAATCAATTTGAAATTCAATACAGAAGTGGGAAAGACACAAATAGTCTTTTACCATGAGAAAATATTAGTGGCTTGTAAATACACAAAAAGGTGCTCAAGTCCAATAATTAGTGAGAGAAATGTAAATTAAGGACACAGGGAGATATCGTTCTAACCTCCTAGATTTGCGACCCCTAAAAAAGTAACACAACACTGAACATAGAAGAGGATGAGGAGCATTGGAAAGACTCACCCACTGATAGTAGAGACATAAATTGGTACGACCAATTCGGAAATGTTTGGTATTTCTCAAAAAATGCTATACATGGGTATACCCTAGAACCCAGAAATTCCATACTCGTGCCCATACACTGAAACAATAGTTCTCACACACTAGTGTACATTATAATCACTGGGAAGATCTGTAAAATACAGATTGCTGGACTCTTCACCAGAGTCTCATTCAGGCACTGGGGCATGGAAATTTGCATTTCTAAGAAGTTCCAGGTGGTGCTCCTGCCACTCTTTGAGAACCACTGCTGTAAAAGGAATTCTTGTACTTACACTCCAGGACATGTACAGAACATTAATAATGCATTGCCTTGATAGGAAAAAATATATCTATCCTTTCATGGTAGGATGAATAAACTGTGGCATAACCAGACAATGATATTATACAGCTGTGAAACCAAATGAGATAAGATCATGCAGAGGTACACAATATCTTTTAAGATACTAGTGATGTTCCAGTTTTAAGCCAGGGGGACATTTTCACAGGTATTCTAATTACTCTTTAAACTGTACATACATATTTTGCATACTCATTTGTACATATATTTCATCACAAAATCTTTTTAAGTTCTGCTTCTCTCTACCCGCTACTGGCCATTGTTCTATTGCCTGGCCCAACAAAGAATGTCAAATCATCTCAGGACTTGAGTAAAAGGGGAACAATTATTGGATCTCATCTCTCTACTGACTCTAATGACATACATCACACCCCCCACACACACACGTCAGTTGCTTTCAACCACTTCTCAAGATATGTTACACCCCCTTCAAGTTCCTGACCAATCTCCCGAGACTGCAGGACTCAAAATCAACAACTGGAACTGAATACAAGGCTCCACCTGCAATCTGACGGACATTGTATTAAAAAATCCCTGCCTATAAATTCATTGTTATAATCTAGAGTGTTTTTGCAACTGTATCATACTGGGAACTGGCTACCTTCCATTTCTTCATTCATAGATATATTTTTTCCTATCAAACTGACTTTATCTTATTTACTAAAACTCCTAGTACTTTTTCATAGGTAACGTTGAAGATACACCTCATAAAGTTGGCCTTTTTAGACCAAAAAGAATGGACTTCAAATTTTATCTTAGATTCTGCCTTTATAGGCTTTTTAGACACACGCTTATTCTATCATCCATTCTCTAAGGAGTCCACTCTATTTGACATTCTTTATAAATTGAATGAGTAGTCAATGATATTCAGTCACTGATCAAGAGTGAAACAGGATTGGACCAAGAACAAAAGACCTGAGCCATATCACTAGAAGTCTTCTAAGTATATGTGGATACAGTAATGTACTCTCTGGTTATAACCATTCAGTTGCTTATTAACCCTTTCTCACAATTTTCCATTTTTCAACAACAGTATTAAGAGAAATTGTTATAACATGTAACACTACAATCTAAAGAAACTGAATATCTAGCTCTCTCAGGTCTTTCAGCCTAGTACTGTCATTAGAATAGTATTGCTGATCATGACCACCCCTAGGGATGACAGAATGAGGAAATGGAAGGCAGCTGGTTCCCAGCAACTTTGTACGTTGCCATTTCTGACCTGGGTTGCCCATCGCCAGAACTCTTTTAACTGGGAGAGAAATAAAC